CCTAAGCAATATCACTTCTTGTTTTCTACTTCCGGCCAGAATTAAAAGCTTTAACTTATTTATGCAAATTTGTCTGGCGAATGCCAAGTACTTAAGTTGTGGCTTTTTGCCAAGCGAAAAAGAAGAGAGGAAGGAGTTAGTCGAAGCAGGCCGCTTGCCTTAGCAGTTTTACTCGGTTGCTAGTTGCCTTCCAGGCCAGAGGTTTAATCATCTTGATAATTTTAAACGTATTGTAGTGTTAACAGTTCTCTTACTACATACGGCTCCTGTTAATATACGCCAATCTTCCACGTAGGCCCTTTTTATTATTCCAAAGTTAAGTTAAGTTTAGTTAATATTTTATATTCTTACGTTCAGACCACAAGTGGTTGGTCTCTGTATTCCGAAGTACAGAAATCATTGTAAAGAGTGAAAAATAAAGGGTTTCGTATACCCTTCCTGTGTATCTTAGGATTTAGGATTTAGGAACGGGGAAGACGGGCACCACGCCCTTACCATTTGGTTAATTGGTTTAGCGCCGTCTCCCCACTACGTGATCCCAGTCGTTTATTGATATTAGCAAACAGATACATAATTTGAAATGAATACAAAATTTGCAATGATACATAATTGAAATGAATACATAATTTGCAATGATACACAGTTTGGAAGGTAAAAAAAAAAATAAATAAATAAATAAATAAATGCATAGCATATGAACAGTAGGAGAGTACGGAACAACAAACAGTCATCTGTAAAATACTAGGCTCAAATATGCAATAGTTAAACAAAAATACAAGACAGAAAGTTGCATACAAATAAAGAAGAATTTGCGGAAAAAGCTATAGTTGCTGACTGAAACTATCCATATTGTCAACAATAACTATAGTACCAGACAGAACTATATTACTGACTGAATGCGATATTTGCAGATCGACTAGAATTATTTACTGATAATGCTATACTTGCTGACTTAAGAATGAAAATAGCTAACATGAGACAAGAAACAATGATATTGAAATTGTGTACTAAATAAAAAAAGTAGACAGATTCTTACAACATGAGACAGATTTCAATGTAATTGATTAACATGATGCCATCAAATAAACATTTACAATTTCTGTTATAGTACAAAGGCTCACTATACATTACAATACAACATACCAACATAATTTACTAATAATACTATACTGAATGAAGATACTTGTAAGCATGATACAATGATTAAATTAATGATTGTCTTATAGACAATCAACTTAATAAGAAAGCATACTATCGATAGAAGAGTACAGTACAATCAAACCAACGTGAGAACTATGTAAAGGCATAGCTTAACATATATATATATAGATATAATAAAAATAAAAAAAAATTTCTAACAAACCTGAAAAGGTGATAGAATGGAGTTCGATACACTCAAACTAACGTGATGCAGTCAAACTTACATTTCATTCGTTATTAACAGTGAAGCTACAAAAAGCAGATAGTACATGTTAATATATTTCCTGTAAATCATTTAGATTAAACTTGACATAGGTCAGCCCAATGCTGGAAACTTTCTCCATTACGCAATTTGTTTGCGGATCAGTGTCCTTTTGCTTAACTAAGAGTTTGCAAAATGCCTGAACGATTTTGCGTAGGAAATCGTATGTGTAGGCCTTCTGTCAGGGGACAATTGGGCTAATAGTGCTCCGGAGAGCCGAGTTCACCACAACTGCTGCGACATTGGTATCACTTATGCCAAAGCGTGCGAAGAATTCAGGAAAAGGTCCATGCCCCAAATGTAACGGGAAAGATGGGCATTGCCACAGCAGCGATCTGTCGACACATATGAAAGATGGTAGAAAGTATCGTCGACCGGTGAAGCTATTGTCCCATTCCTCTTGCCACTTACTAATTGCTCGAAGACGTAAAGTTCGCTTGAGAAAAGAATGTGGCCAAGGAATGGATATATTCTCTCAGCATCACCAGAAGCCGCCTCCTTGGCATAGGCATCTGCAAGTTCGTTACCATATTCTCCCACATGCGCTTTAAACCCAAGCAATATGAATAGTAAAAGACGAGAGCCACGTAAGTCCTGTTGAATGTCTCGTATAATGGAGAGGAATGCTCAGGATGCCAATGGCGTGGATGACAGAAAGGCTATCAGAATTGATTGTCGCTTGTGTTATATTCTGAGTCAGCAAGTAGCGGATAGCGCGTGCTATCGCCACTGCTTCCCCTTGAAAAACACATTCTGGCATGGATAAATGTCCCTTCCAGTGGGCTAGAGGAAGATTCACGAAAAGCAACCAAAGCGCTTCCTACGTTATCATCTATCTTTGATCCATCAGTATATATCACGTGGCTTGAAGAATTAACAAACACTGATGGTGAATATGGAGCCTAACTCCAACCCCATAGTCTGCTGGATGAAGACTAAAAGGTTTCAGTTTTGCTTCATAGTCATCAGGCAAATAATGTTCTCCATCAATGTGATAGGCCTGCGTATTTGCACAAGTAACTGACGAACAGCCTCTTCCTCAGTTCTAATATGAAGAGGGAGTAGACCGGCTAGAACATTTAGTGATTCCGAAGAAGTTGTAATATATGCCCGAGTTATACTCAGGGCAAAGGGCGTTGATGGTTGAAAGATGTTTGACTTTTCTCCCCTGCATGGGGAGTGCCCAAACCGCAGCGGCGTAAGTAACAATCTTTTCTGTGACAGTAGTATATAGAATTTTTTGGATATGGTGGTTTAATCCCCATCGTATCCCTGAAGATAACGAAGCTGTTTGGCAATCATCTGTGTCCGTTTTTTAATGGACAGAATATGTGGGATCCAGGTTAACTTATCATCAATGATAACTCCCAAATATTTGATTTCTCTGAGGATTTGCAACCTGTGGCTATTGAGGACAATTCTTGGTCGCCTGAACCAAGGAACCTCCTTTCTTAGGTACAAGAAGTACCTTGGATTTGTTTTCAGCATAATCATTCAGATCATCACAGTGCTGTTGAAAGAGTTGAAGAGACTCGTTGCAATTTGCTGTAAAACTTCGCGAGAATGTCCCCGGATAACAGAGCCACATCATCGGCATACGCATATATGCGTATGATCAGGCCAGGGAGCTTGAAAGGATCTTATTAAAGTGAGGTTCCAGAGTTGAGGAACCTGCACAGGAACCCTGCGGGCATCCTCTTGTCTGAGAATTTTCAATAATTCCCACTGAATGTATGCAATCATAGACGTCTCTCTTGCAAATCCTGTAGATAATGATTTATAAATATTACTCGGACATTGGAGTTTACAAGAGCTTGCTTAATAGCTACTCACCACAAACTGTCGAATGCGCTTTTAAGATCTAAGCTGACTAATGCGGTGTGGTAGCCAGAGAATTTATTATTCAGGATGTCATAGCTTTAGTAAGCTCCCTGTTCCGCGTCAGGTTCATGAATGTTCCCCAAGCAAGTAAGGCGGAACACTGAACTTGATAAAACAAGCAAAATGCTTTTCAGAACTTCTTCATTTTTTTGCATATTTAAAATTACCAGATATGAACACTGATTTTAGAGTGTGCTCTAATAAAATACGTATTTTTTCTATTATTCTATACCAGATAAAATATCATATATAATATACAAAATTTTAAGACTTTTTATGAATTTAACTAACAAAATTTGCAAAAAAAAAGAACTTTTCGATTCAATTCTATATAATTCTTTAAAGAAGATTTACTTAGTAAATTCTTCTTCTGTCTAAAGCAAGAAAATTGTTTATAATAAATTTTTTTATTACATCAGTTGCAGAGATATCTAAATTCCTCCAATCGCGTTTGCCTTCATATTTATGTTTTTCAATCTCTAGAATATAGCTAGTAATTTGTATTAATTCAAACGCTCAAAAAAATAATAAAAAATTAATAAATATGTAGTAAAAATTTCAGGTTTTTACGTTAACTGTTTTTGCAGAACAAATGCATAAACGTTACATTTTATGGAAGCTTTTAAATAAGAATGCTCCCTTAATACATTTAATATTAATTGATGCATTTAACGCACTAGCACGCGCACTGGATCCAATAGACCCACGAGATTAAACAAAGCACGCCTTTTATTTCACGCAAGTTGTTGATGTCTATTGTAGTCGTGTCTTTGGTCGAATTCTTTATATGTCTCTGAAGGTTTTTCGCTGGGGCTTTGATTCAGAGTTGATTTTGATCAGATCGGGACTTTTAGATTCAGCACGCCTATTCGTAACACTATTACATAGTTGATTTGTGACAGTACAGAAAGCGGCAAACGTGTCCTGTAATTTACCTTACAACGGAAAAATGTTGCAAATGTTATAGTCAACTGACGAAAAATATCGTAAAGAGATGGAGAATGGAAGTGATCATGAATTTTTAGTTCACATGATACTGATTCAAAAACTGACATAGATTATGAAAACGAGAGTCAGAATGATATAAATTGTGAAATTGGTAAAACAGATATCGGAAACAAATAAAAAGGAAAACGAAAAAAAAAAACATGCAGTGTTTTCCCAGGGTAAAAGCACAGATAAACAAAAACGCGCTTCGCTGAATGTGAATAATATTTGCATTTGGAACACACGACAACACTCTGTTCAATCTGATGCTAACATTTGTTGTTGCTTTTCTTTTTGCGCCTATAGTGTTAATAAATAAAATAAGAATCGATATAAAGTCAAGGTATACATTTTTTTCTTCCTATACTAATAAATTATACGATTTTCTATTTCTTTAAGAAATTTTATTTCATAGAAGTATTTATAAAAATTATAGTGTGAATATTTTTGCGCGTTCGTTCCCGGGTTAATAGTGTTGCATATTAAATTTCAATAAATGGGATTTTCATTAAATAAAATATTATGATGTAATATAGACAAAGAGAAAAAAAGAGCAAAAGTGAGAAATGTATTGTACAGAGTTTACACATAGAATCAGTTATCACTTCACTCGCACTGCTTCATTTAGATCTAGCATATTTTTTAAGTTTCTGACAAAATAATAACTTACCAGCTGGTATGACAGTGAAAACGCATGGCTCTCTCTGACGTCCAACTTCGTTGCTACCCCAGCATATGACAGAACCGTAATCATCATCTGAGTGTGGTAGGTAGGTTCCTGTGCTTACTGTTCCAGATGTCTGGAAATTTTTTATATCCAAGCTCTTTCCTGAACTATTGAAACGCCACCTGAATGTGATGTTATCAGGATCAGCATCCAGTTCACACTTGACGCGCACGGATTCAAAACGGCCGACGCCATAAATCTTTTTCTGGTTGGTTTTGCACTCAGGAGCATCTGAATAAAGAAAACATAACATTCAGTCTATATATTATTCTATGCATTGATTATGCCTTAAAAGTTTTAAAATAATGTAATTTTAAAAGTTAACAGAAATGAATGATAAGTTTGCACACATTTTGTGTGTATGAATTAAATATTTTAATTGTTAAGAAAGATAATGAAATACATCTTCCTTTTTAATTATATTAACACAAATATAGGATGTAAAGATCACATGACTTTCTTGTTCAGCTTGTTATAATAAACACACTTTTTGCTACATTTCATTTAAACTTACTTTCTCGAATTTCTTTAGAGATTTATTTCTCATTCAATCAATTCAGTTCTGGCTCCGCGGCAACGCAAAAATACATGAAATCTCAACACATTCATTAAAATTGTAAAATACAAAAAACCTAAAACAGTTATTTTTTTTTAAAATTCAATAGAATTTTTACGCGAAAACAAGAAATTTGTCTAACGAGAGAGAAGATAAAACTTTCAGTGCACCAAAATTTGGTCCCACTCAGCAGAGCGACTCTAAAGTTGGTGCACTAACTAAAGTGCTTATTAAACATTAAACAAGTGGTAATATTCTTGCTTTTGTAAACAACAAACGAGGAATTAAGCAGATGTTTTTGTGGTTTCATGGTTACTTGCCTGTAAATCTGGTTTCTTGGCGCTATTATCATTAAAGCAACGAAACAAACATTTAAAGCGCTGTACACATCTTCACTGATGGGAAATTGATTCCCAGAGTTTGCCGTGCAAAATTTTTATCGCTTATATAGATGGATTTTATTATCCAAAAAGAGCATTTAGTAGTATCTAAATGCTATTTTTCATATATGAATGTGTCGCAGCTCAGCAGTCCAGAATTTGCTAAATTTGATATAATTAATAGAATATATCAAATTTAGCAGATTCAGGACTATAATGCTTAAGAATCAAAATTAGTCATCAGTCTGGGTTAGTATACAATTGCTGGGATTTGTTTACGATTAAAAATGCTTTTAAATAAATACAAAGTTGTAGCCAATTTTGAGGCAAGTCACATTGCAAAAGACATCTGTAACCTTTACGAATTTATTGTTGTTATCCTTTGTACGATAGATATTCACGATAAGTGCCTTGTACAGTTTATGAGAACATATATTTTGTTATTAATTAAATAAACCAGGACATAATATTTGTGTTAGTTTTATTAGTAATCTTACAGAATTCTGTTCAGTTATTCTGTCTGTGTGCAATTTTCACTGGTGTGCTTAAACAGTACAAAAACATGTTTATGAATTACAGTCCTTTGTAATCCCAATCCAGTTTAAAAACATTTGAAACGCAAAAAAAACAAAAAATGCAACTGAAGGAATGTTTATCCATAATATTTTAAAAAGTGAGGTGTGCTTGGTGTAATATAAAAAAAAAAACTATTTTGAAGTTGTTTAAAAATTAGTAAAAATTTTTTAAATGCATAATGACTCAACTGTTAATTTGATGAAAAAACATTGCAGTAAGATCTCGCTTCATTTGGAAATAAATTTGTTGCTGCAAGTTAGCTTTGGTTTCATTTTTCAAGTCTGGCTGAGAAGAAAAATTCAAATCGCAATGCTTTTGTTCAAAATATGATTTTATATTAGAAGAGGAGTTTGCATGCGCATTATTAGTTAATAAAATTAAGTACTTTCTTAGCTATTCAAACTTTTAATGACTCGTATGATATCTACATGAATGTCTAAACAGGGGCAATTTTTTATCATAAAAGAGGAAAAGATGAAATAAAACAAAGAAAACATTCATTTAAAAATAAAGTCATATACTTTACATACGGAAAAACCATGCTTCTTAATTTATATGCTATTAATTCGCTAAATGAAATATAAATTAAGAGATATAATCCCTCGTTACAAAATGTTACGTTTTTTTCATATTCGAAATTATATCATCACTATGTTTGTCTGTTTTAAAATTTAAAAACAGCCTGATATAAACTAATTTACAAATGCTAGATCCGGAACTCGAGGTATGTGCATTTCGCAGAGATTCGCGTAGTACTTCTAACGGTACTTCCTTTTATAAAAATTAGAATGCTTGCAGTTTTAACTTGACTAAAATTAATTAAAAAACAGGTATCTAAAAGTTTTAGTGAAAAACAAATCATTTAGAACAGTAGTTCCCAAAGTGGCTCCTACCAACCCGCTGAAGAGGTCTGTGGTGAAATTAAAATTAATTTGGGAGTATGTGGATAACGCCCGTGATCCGCAAAAGGTTGAATATAAAGTCAAATAATTGTGTCCTAGTTTCATTATTATAAAAGTTAAAGTAGTAATAAATAAACTGGTAGCAAGTTTTACGTCTCAAATATAAGTCTAGAGAGGTGCATAAAATACAAGTAATGACAAACATCGTACGAAATATGAGTCGGACCGGTATCGCCTCCAAAAACTTAATTAGAAGGAAGTGAAAATCTGTATATATCAGCGGTCGTCAACCCTTAGAGCTTCAGGGACCACTACATATATATAATATTTGGCGGACCACTAATACGAATTTAAAAAAAAAAAAAAAAAAAAAAAAAAAAAAAAAAAAAAAAACTTAAATCAAACTTTAAAAACAACATATTAGTACGCAAAAACAATATTCAACTTCCCAATACATGTAATTCTAACTTTCATTTGTTAATATAATATTCGAAACATTTGGTGTTCAGCAGCATGTCTTTACGGAAATTCAGGCTACGCCCCTGATTATGAGTAACAAATAAAACACTATTAACATCTCACTGATACACATATTTCGTTCACATTGAAAAATTATATGAAAAGTACAAAAATCTTACTTTCTTGTACATAAAGCTTCACATTTCCAAATCACTGAAGAGGAACTTCGCGAAAAGCAAGAACAAATAGGCAAATAGGAAAGCAATATCAATAAACTGAAAGTGTTATGCCGCCAATTTTTAATTATTGTAAACATAATAATCATCGCTCACTCAACAATGGCGCCATCGATCAGCAGTTAGACCAAACCAAAAACGAAAACTTCCAGTGAGGCAATTATAAATAAGAATGCAAATGGTTCTCATAAAAATCTATCAAGTTGCCCATTGACACAAAGAGAAACTGTGTTATTAATAACTGCAATAGCATATGTTTGTATTTCCAAAGGAAAGAGAATTCCAGTTCGCGCTATTATTGATAACAGCAGCATATCCATGGATGCCAACTCTCACTTTTAGATGTCGCTAGGTACACCTGCAAAAGTAGCTGAAAAGTAGCTAAATTCAGAAGGAATTTCGTAGTAGTAGCTAAAATTTAACAAAAACGTATAATCCATATTCCATAATAGTTTTTGTCAGTCGTCATTTTTTAAAGAGAATCTTCATAAAAATATAAATAATGTCCAATTTTTCTGCGGACCATCAAAACATTTTCGAGGATCGACAGTGGTCCGTGTACCCCCGGTTGGCGACAACATGTCTATATACTAACTTTTCTAAAATATGGCACTAAATACGGAAGAGTCGTAAGAGCCTAAATACGTAAGAATCGTGCATCTAAGCAAAAATTTAGTTCTTTTATGTGCGTGGAACAAATCTTCTTAATTTTGAAGTAAAAGCATTATGCTTGTTTTGCATTTTTACGATTTTACGAAGATACCGTTAGCTATGCAGTTATTTGTGAATGCAATTCATATCGCCATGTAAAGTTATACTTCAAGTTCGTTCAAGTTCGCTTATAAAAAAATTCGTTATATACTATTTATCAATATTAAATTTTGTTATTAATTAACTTATTATGATAATAATCGAATTATTTACTTTTCAAGAAAAATAAATAATTAAATTACTAAAGAATGCGTTTCTATTCAATATGTGACACTTCGTAAAACTACTTGTACTGAATGCAATAATGCAAATCAGTAAAACAATGTTTTTTACAAAGACATGGTTTGTTTCATTTTATTATATTTTAAATTTATATCCTTTCTTTGCAGATATAGTTCGACCGCCTCATCCGCGACCATGAGCGCAAACACGCATGCGCCATTCGGATCGAATTATTCTCAAAATAGGATGAAAAAATCTGAACTTTCTTTCCCTCCAGCATATCTCTTTCCGGAGAAAAATAGACACGTGACCTTTCACGTCGAGCAAGTAATAACGCCCCTTTTGGACGAGTCTGTGTGTTTTGGCAGATTGCCAGCCAGAGTTGCGTTTGAGACATTCGAACTATGTAACAGTGAATGAGCCGAAGAAAAATGCAGACAGTATAAGGTTGAATATTTAAAACATATCTTTATTCCGTTACCAGGAAATAGCACTTTCTCTGTGTGCCTTCTAAAACAATAAAAATTTATCAAATAAACCAATCAAATGTTCTAAGCTTATGAAGCATCAGTTCACAGAGAAAAGCGCAAATTTGCATTAACCCAGAACGGTTATTAGTTTTGAAACGGTATTTTGCGTAAATCACTAAAAACGGTTGTATCACATTTCAAATTGTTATCTACAGATACTATTCCCCGGTGTTATAAGAAAATCTACATAAATGTATTACTGCATTTACTCTTCAAGAATTAATAAATAAGTTAAATTTGCACTTTTTTAATTAAGTAATAAGTTAAATTATTTTAAAGACTTAAATATGTTAAATTATTAATTGTTCTTATATATAGGCGGGGTGGGGGGGTTCATGGTCAATATTTTGCTATAAAATCAACGGGATTCAAATTCATTATTTTCGTAGAAGAATAAGTTATAAAACGTTTACCCCGTTCAATTGGATTTATTAATTAATGGGTAAGTAATTAAAATATAACAAGATCAAATGGGATGCTAAATTACTATATTCAATAATTACTTTTGAATATGACATAGAACGGTAGCAAAGTTGAATTGTTTTTTCTAGTCAAATGTTTTGTTGAGAAAAAAAATCTATCGAGAATAATATAAGCATTTGAATTGTAACAAGGAAATAATACCGAGAAGATTAATAACAGTTGGATTGAATGCAATA